TATAAATATATAGATGCTAAATAACCTCAATTGTCTAGTTTATATTGATCTATAGAGGGTGGGGTGGGGCGCTTTTTTTGGCAAAAATATTTGAGACTATTCTATTAATTTACTCTCGCTAGCTTTTTTTTTTTTCCCCTAAATTTAGACTTTTGAAGAGGCTGTTAAACTTCCAAATTAATGAATTTACTTTTGTGAACTAAGTTGGTCTGCTTTTCAGGTTGAATAATGGAAGCATGGCCCTTATTGTTGTACAAAATACTTCTCGAACAGAGTTTGTAAAACATCTGAAAAGATATGCCAGCGTAAAAAATCAGGTACTGTTAATTTCTTCCTGGTGATTATAAAAAGAACAGTTAATCATGAGGGTAGACATGCTGTAAGAGTTAATGTTAGCATCCTCATAAGGAGACTTAGCTTCCTGTCAGAATACATTAGTCCCCTTTTTATCTGATTTTTTTTTTTTTTTAAATCACTAGACTAATACCGATTAGCCTATTTCAGCCCATCTGTTGTGGTTTAAATTGTATTTGTGTTGTGCCATAGTTTTATGGGTATAAAGTCCTTTCACCACAATAAAGGAAAAGCACACTGTGTTTAAACTGTGTGTAGTGCAGAGATCAAGAACACAGACTGGGGGGGCACCATGCAACTCTTTGTCGGAAATAGATAAAGTCCATGGTTTCAGCAGGTCACTGCGTGCTATGTGGTGGCAGTGGATTATGAACACCGATTTTTAGCAGGGATGCGTTCCATCTAGTTACCAATGTTTGCAGGACTGCATTTCAAAATTTTGGTCGTTACTCTGTTTTTGAAGAGAAAAATAAGCATGCAAGCGGAGTGCCTTCTCCTTATCCCGAATATCTGACGCATAGCCTAAGCGTACCCGTCCTCCTTCAAAGGTTTCAGGATTATGTGAAATCAACTTTTACAAGAAGGTTTAGGTTTGAGTTAGACAACCGTTCCACAGTCAGCGAGTTTGGGGGAGAGGTGGGTGGCAGTTCCACGTGACACCACTAACGGCTGTATTTAGGAAATAGTTTATGCTTTTGGAGGAAGGCTTTGCTTTTCTCTCTACCTTTGTATTTAGAAATTAGGGATGCGGACCCCCCCTTTAAACTTCAGATGCCCATTGACTGCAGTTCTACCTAGCCTCATTTAGGACAGGATTACTGGTAATGATGAACAGAGCACAGGAAAAGATCTGCCTGGACTTTCTTCACATATTCTGAAATCCTGTGCCACTGTGGCATGTGCCAGATACACCACCTCACCTGTAAACTGAGCAAGTCTGATATGGGAATGGAAATGGAATGCTACCATTTTTTTCTGAGGGAATATTTAGGATACAAAAAGCACGTTCATCTGTAAATGCTAGCTGGACTATATAATGCCTCCTGCGGTCAAAGCTAGAGTTGAGTTCCCATCTACTTAAGACGACCGAAAAAAAAAAAAAACCAAAACCCACCAAAAGCAAGCTTTTTAATTTCAAGTAATCCAGTTTGTTGCTAAGCTACCACCTGTATCTTTCATCTTCATTTAATATATATCTGTGTTTGGTTTAGTTCAATTTTCCCTTTGTTGAGACCTACACAGTTCAAGAAGTAAAAGTACAACCGAGGCTTAAGAGTGGGCCTGATGCCAAAGAAAATACCTATTTGAGTCCTGCTTCTGCAGAAGGAAATTACCCCTGGAATATAGATGGAGACTTAATGAAAGAAGCGTCAGAAGTTCATGTCCGGTAAGGCTAAGGATCAGTTTATGGGCTGTATATACCTGTAACAGATCAGTATTGCCATCTTAAATGTACATAATACAGCTGGCATCAAACCTGGGTGTTGTAAATCCTGTAAGAACAGCACTGGTTCCTGCTTTGGGGCACTGCACGCTCGGGCCCCTTTGCCGCTGTTGGGGCCCCTGCCCTCTTTCCTTGTGCCCATCTTTAGAAAGGTTTGTCGTGACCCACTTGGCCTTGCCTTTCTGGTGCTTCATCAGCTTCCAGCTCCACCTCCTCTCTTCCTTCTGCCTGCTTTACCCTCCTGTTTCTTAGAGGAGAACAGAAGTACATAAAGGTCCGTGGCTCCCATGAGGAGCTCCTTTTGCGATGAGGATTCCTGCTTGGAAAGCAGTCTGTGTGTAACCTTAACAAAAACACGTAGTTGTTCAATTGTGGGAAACTTGGTGCTGCTTGAGAGTCATCTCTGCAGCTAGGGTCGGAGGAAGAAACTAGGAATACGTAGGGGAACCGGAGGGTTATCAGGGGCTCGTTCCTCTGCAGCGCACGCAGGATGAGTTGAAGGCGCAGAGCTCAGAGTAACTGGCTGGTATGCAAGGGAAAAGCAGATCATGGTATAGGATATGTAATATATACTGCTAAAGTTGATCTTGTAGGAATTGTCAAAACGTAAATCACCTGATTTTTATTCCATAGAGCAGTTAACGTATTTGTTCTCACCCCACCACCCCCCTCCAGAAAAAAAGTGGCACCCCCATTGCACAAGTTAATGAAATTGGTAAAGTTTGACCTCCTCACTTCACAGGGTGCATCCTCAACTTATTAATCTCTATGGTGTGAACACTGATGACCTGGAGACTTCCCAAGCAACGTGCAGTTGCATCTAGCAGGGAGGGACAGACTGCAAGTTCTGTATCAAAGAATCCTCTTCCCGATGCACAGCTTTCCACTGGCCCCGTCTCCCACTCGCTGAACGCAGTTGTTGGAGCAGAAGCTTAACCGGGATGTTTATAGTATTTCTGGTTTAAAGTTTTTATCAAGTTAAATATTTTTATCAGGTTGTATTTAACTGTAAAGAAACTGTCATGCTTAACACAAAAAAATGAAAACTGGTTGTATTGGTCTCTTATAAATTTGGGGTTCAAGAAGTGTCTGTCAGAAGAGATTTGGGGTGTTTTCTTTAAAATTATTCTAGCTTTTGCAATAACCATAGTATGAGATACTTCAAAGTCTGCAGATGCTACCGATGTTGTCAGGTAACTCAGCTCAGCAGAGCTGGTGAGTGGAGCTGTGGTACCACCTCATGCTGAAGAACGGTGGCAAAATCCAGGTTTATTTTTTTTTTTTAAACAAGTACTTCCATTTCTAGGTATTTTTTTAATGTTGCCTTAATGTATTTGCTTTCAAATTGTTTCTAGTCAAACAGTAATACAAAAGAATATGCTGATGTCTTATATGGCTTTTCTTTGAAATGTATTTTAAAGACTACTCTTTGTACAAAATAGATAAAATCTTTTTAAATATTTATCCTAAAACTGTAATGATATTCAGCATAGTTTTTGTTGTTGCTGAGAATAAAGTTATGATAAATAACTTAGAGTTGACTTAAATTTTTATAACTTCTTTATGGGGCACAAGCATAATTTTTACGAGTGTTTGGGGTATTTGGTAACTTATTGAATATTTAATATAATTACTTGAGGTGACAGCAAATTAAGACCGTGCTCTTTCTGGGAACTGGCTTTCTCCAAGATGATGAAAGGTAGCAGACCAACACGTTTGTCTGTCTGCCGGACCATGGGGATAACGAATGTTTTCCTGTTCACTTGTCTATGAAGCGCTCAGAAGGTGGCTGACAGATAATGGTATGAAAGCTGTGCTGTCTTGAGGCTGGAAGGAGTTGCTTTAAGGTCTTTCCTCAGTAAGTGGTCAAGTATAATGTGAAATCCAGTCACTTACATGTTTGTTAAGTCAAAGCTCTAAGCCTTTACATGGGAGTATCTCAGCTGCAATAGCTTACTTGATTTTTTTTTTTTGATTTTTTTTTTTTTTTTAATACTACTTGTGAAAACCTCTTACCTGTGATAAAGACACAAGGTAAAGAAGTTCCTGCACCTAAAGTGTTTCAGATGATTATTTGTCTCCTAAGAGCGAGCTGTTACTTGTTGGGAATCTAGGGTAGTTTCTACAGGCAAACCTGGCCAACAGTAAAGGCCAAGTTCATAACGAACCGAATGCCTGCTTTGGAGGCAATTTGTTATAGGCATCACAGAGCTAGGTCTGCTCTTTGCACTGGCATGCATGGCTGCAGCACAGGATCAGCATCACAGCACCCTTTGGGCTGGACGGGGCCCTGCCAGGGCTGTGGTCCAACCTCCTCCTCAGAGCCGGTGCAGCTGTGAGATCAGATCTGGTCGCTCAGGGCTTCATCCGGTCTGGCCTTGACACCTCCAAGGATGGAGACGACACCACCTCTCTGCACCCCTGTGCTGGTGCCTGGCTGCCCTCATGCCCAGCTGCACCCTCTCCGTTCAGCTGGTACCTGTGGTCTGAGTCGCAGTGAGTAGGCTCTGGTCAAACCACTATAATTGATCCTGTATCACCTCAAATATTTTTAACATGTTAAGACAATTCAAACTAAACTTCCTGAAGTTGTCTAAGGAGGAGATTCCAGCTACATTTAGTAGATTTAGCGGGTTTTATTACATAACTGAAAATGAACAAATCAATTGAACTTAGAGAACAAGCAGCATTCATGTTGGGGTTCCTTTTAATACAATGAAATTGCATGATACTTTATAACCTTGCCCCCATCAGGACAACGTACATTCATTTTTTTTTGTCAACTGTGTTTATAAAAGCTAATAAATTTTGGTTCATATCCTAAGAACAGGCAGCTAACATTTACATGTTAATAATAAAGTCTGAATAGGAAGCATACAATTCCCAAGGCGACATTGTCACATGTAACATGTCACATTGTCACACTTACGTAAACTATTTCAAAGATAAATAAAATGCTTTAGTTTCACTTCTTTGCGTTGTTTGCACTAAAAAGAATGTTACTGCTTCTTCCAGTATTTGAGGTATATTTTTCACACTATGCTCTCACATCAGACTAGTTTCTGTTCAAAGGTATTTTGGTTAAAGTGCAAAAATTCACTAAAGCCATTTGGAAGATAAGCATTTTGTGCATATTTTCATAGACTAGCAAGAAAATGTTTCATTCTTTGCATATTTTATTTTGATTTTTATTTTTTTTTAAAAATATACACACATTCATTTGTCTTTACACTGCAGAAGGTTTTGAGAGAGAAACTACTTTAGAGCAATGCACATCTTTGGCATCAAATGAAGTGAAAGGAAATTAAGAAATGGTCCCCGATACCTTTAGAATCTGTGGACAAAGTGGCTTTTATGGCACCAGACACTGCGATAGCGAACGTGCTTGTTGAAGGCTCTCTGTATCGCTTTTGATACAGGCTAATTCCCCTGTATGTACGTATTGCATTCATTTCTCCTTGCAGCTCAGAAAGACATCAAAGGCACGGCAAGGAAGGCCATTTTGCGTACTGCTGTTGCAACAAATTCAGCTGCTGAAGAAGCTGTACATTCTCCAGTTGTACTGGGGAGCAAAGTAATTTTTTTTTTTTTTCCCCTGGATTGTACTATTTCACCAAAGCTAGGTGGCAGTGCAAACTTATCTAGTTGAAGAAACTTCCTGTAGTAGCAGAGCAGTGGTTTGAACCATATTTCTGTTCGGTCATTTGCCCTTCCGCTGAGTGAGCGGCTGCTGCAGATGCCTGTTTGGATGGTGTTCATCTGGAAACGTCACAAGAATCCAAGCTAGCTCTCCAAATGACTTCCTTGTTAAGTACTTTGAGGTAAAGGGTGGCACAGCTAAAGATAAAATTTGGCCCAGGGAGGTTGGCATTTGGAGTCTTTTGGGTACGTGTTGCTCTGCTTTGTCATCACGTGAAGTCTCTTTTTTTTATTTTTTTTTTTTCTTTCTTTTTCCCCCCAGGTCCTGGAAGAATGCCAGTACTAAATACTATGATGCTAAGTACTATAGAAAAATCTTCAAATAAATAAAAATAAATACTTGCTTTAAAAAAACAAACAAACAAACACCCCATGTAGAGATATTTCATTGGAGAAGTCCAAAACATCACATCAGCAATATCCAAGGTAAGGATGAACCAACTCATTCTCTCATGCTTGCAAGTACCACGTTAAAGATGGCCATGAATTCAGATCTCCAATACATTATTACTCTTTCTACAGCTGAGAGAGGATTCTGTGCTGCAGCTCCAGGCTACCCCACAGCCTTCCCTGCTCTGAATCCACCTTTGACCTTCCTGGTTCTGGCCTGCCTGGGTGTCTAAGTCTCTGCCTGTGAAGCCAAAGCTTACGAGGTTACCTTCAGAAGCCCAAGAGAGCTGCCGACAGCGGTTTTCTACATCCGTGCGCTCTACTTACTGTCCTTTGAGTGGTTTAAGCTAATTTACCCTTGTAGAACTGCCAAATCAAGGTGAGGGAGGATTTCTTCTTCTTCTTGAATGTCTAATCAAAAGATCACTGAAACGTGAAAATTAATAGAATAACTCACGCTCATGTGTTTGAGATCTTATTTTCCAGGATTGGCCAAACGTTACTACTTTCTAGAAATTCTTCTTTCCAGTAAGTAATTCTTCTTCTCTTTATCTTTAGTGTTCTTCTGTCTGTTTGAAACCAGGTATCTATATGGCATTTCAGATGTTACTGTGAGACTTCAAACTGCTCTACTGTTTCCATATTAGAAAAACAACAGTACTCTAATGTGTAGTCCTCCGTACAGTTCAAGGAAATAAAGGTGTATTTTGGAAGAGCGAGTGAGCTCAAGACCAGTTTTCTTGTCACTGATGTTTCTCCTGTGAATTAACCCGAATCTTAAATTCTTCATTTTAAAATCAAATGTTTATTTGCCATTTTAGTCATCTTTGTTCCCACTTGTAAAACTCCAGCTGTCTCTTCTCCTCTTGTCTTGAGGGACAGATTTGTATTGCCTTTTGAAAAAGCCAATCTGAAATACATAATTTTGGAACCTGTTGTCAGCAAATCTCTGTTACAAAACCTAAACCATAAAAGATGAACTGAAATAAAATGCTTATATATGCTGTTTACGAACATTGGTATTTGCCCTTGCTTTGTCATACCAAGTAATCAAGTGTCACTCATCAATCAAAAAAATTGGTTTGCTTTTTCTTTTACATTTTGGGAGGCCAATACTTTCCCGCAAGTATTAAGGACGTGTGGGCTTGTGAACCGTAAGAGTCCACAGAATCCAGTATTTTTTAAAAATATGAAACTGTAATAAAACTTTCCTGTTAAATTTAATTTCTACGCTTCCCTGGGAAAAATGATGGGTAAAGAAGTTAATGATGAAAGAAATGATGTAGGTAAAGAAGTTAATCTCTTAATCGCTTGACTTCCCTGGGAAAAATGATGGGTGGATGAAGTCTGCATGTAGGTAAAGAAGTTAATCTCTTAATCGCTTGTCAGAGAAGCTGCTTCCTTCATAGTTTTCTTTTTTTACTTATGCACAGGATTTTTTTTTAGCATTTATGTTGCAGTTTAAAATCTTAAACGTTTTATTCTGGCATGAAACGATGATGATGACTAATAGTCTGCAAGTGCCAAGTGACATTAAATGGGGAGCATCATCCCACAAAAATGATCCATTTGATATTGTTGAATTATACAAATCATTTGCACACATGAGATGCCTTATAAAACATGGCAAGGGGTCTGTGGTGTTGAATAACAGAAGACGTAGAATGTGTAGGAGAAAAAATGAAGGAAAATGGAGCGGTATTTTGAAACAACACAAGCTACAGGAGGAATTATGTATCTTTTGAAAGGACAGATTGTTTGTCCTTTAACCTGCATTAACAGATCCAAAGATCCCCCAATGGTGTGAATTCCTGACTACAGAACAACTGAGAAATGCTGAAAACCTACCTTCCATAATAGAAATGACAGCAGCAAAAGCAAGGTAACACCAACTATTAAGCCTATTCCAATAATGAGCACAGTAACATGGTATTTTGGCTTCTGGTGGTGCACTCCTTCCAAATAGACCTGGAAAGCAGAAAGTAAGTTTAGTGCTAGTTGATTTTTTTTTCCTTTCTTCTGAAAGATACTAGAACAAACTAGGAAAATTAATTACATTCTTAAGTAATTAACACTGTGTATAGATATGTACTGAATTCCACTATTCTAATTGCTGTTGTTTTTTCTACTTTAACAAGTTTATCACAAATTCATTAAGAGAACTCTTACGTATGCAACTTGCTTGTCCCTGTGGAGTTCAATAACTTTTGCATTTTTTTCTGGTGAGGCTGTTGCTCTTACTTCAAACTTCAATGCTGATGCATCATCCTGATTAAAAAAAAAAAAAAAATCCCATCCTTAAAAAATAACTTCAACACATTAATTCCTACCCAGCAAAAACGGTAACACAGCTGCTCACGGAAACAGAATCTCACACAAACACACAAGGGTGCCTTTTTCTGATCACAAAACAAATTAGTACCAGCAGCTGGAACGAAGCCCAGTTGGATTTTACTTAAGTCCACATCCATGCTGCTTTTCTTAGAAAAGTACAATTATGAGTTGAAATTAAATCCCAATCCTACATAACCCAGCCAGAACAGGCAAAGCAATACAACATATAAAATAAAGTGATTATCTAAAATACGTATTTTTTTTCAATGCCTTGAAATATTCCCCTCAAGTATGAAAGATTCATGTGTTACCATTTCTAAAAGCGAAGGAGTAGCCTCCAGATGCAACTGAATGGTTGCTTCTTTTCCACTTTCCATGTTTCCAAGCTGGCAATGTATTTGTAAGCAAAGGCTGTCATTTTTCATGCAGTACTGTAGAAGGGAGGGAAAGATTAAAACTTAAGTTTATCAACTTTAGCATTAAGGTGATAAATTTAAAACTAAGGTATTAAAGACACTCAGGAACAGAGTAAAATAAAAAGATCCATGTTTGTTCTTGAAAAGCCAGGGTGTAACTCTAGGCTGTCATCCACCCCTGCCAAACCATAGGTGCTAAAGGAATAGTATGAGGGACCAACCTAACTGTTACAGACAACAACAGGTCCTTTTTCTTAAAAATTCAAATTTTTTATAGACTGAAAAATAACAATTGTCATAGTTTGGTTATATGGTGGGGTATTTTTGGTTTGGGGGTTTTTTTACACTGTTATTTCAAATTAGCTTTTATAAAGAATTATAAATGATGATGACTATATGATATCCAGTATAAACAGTATAACTGATTGATCCTTACACTTGTACACTGACAGCTAGCACCGCTTCATCAGCTTCGGAGAAGACAAAAAACCAAGCCTGTACACGATTGTATTCTTTGGCCAAGGCTGCAATGCCTAAGGTCTGATTTGATGTTCTAGTGCAGGATGCCTGTCAGTCATTGGTTGATGTTCCTTGAAACATGCTTTACTTAACGTCCCAAATTAACATATTTTAAAATGTCTAGCTTCTTTCAAGTCCAAAACCAGGACAGTATTGAACAAAATTGTACTTTATCAAACACAAGTTGCAGGACAGAGAGATTTCTATGAGAACAAACCCTCAAAAATGTAACACTAGAATAGCAATTCTGGTTTGGACTACATAGGCAAGTAGCTGATCTCCAGCAGGGTCTGTAAGCAGGTACAGAGGGATGAGCTTGAACAGGCCAGGCCTGTACGATATTCTCCCAGCCTCCCAAGTATTTTTAGTAAGAACTTCCCAAGCCAAAAGTGATTTCCGTGTATTTTATAACTCTTAATGACTTTCAGTCCCATTAACTTGTATAGTCTCCCCTGGAATTCACTTATTTTTAGCATTCATAACACCCTTCAGTTAGAAGTTCTACCATGAATACTACTTCTGGTTTTTGTTGTTTTTTTTTTTAACCCGGCTCCTATTAGTTACATTTGATGGCACTTTTTTGATGTGGAAAGGGCAATGAATATTTTATCTGCATACGTCATGTAATTAAAATTAAGGCTGTTTTTCCCACATGCATAATTTTCCATTTGTTACTGAATTTCATCTGCCATGCTGCTTGCCCACTCATTCAGTTACATAACCCTTCAGCAATTCCTTGTAGGTGACTGTCATCCACACTGACTGCAGTGACGTGTCATTAATCAACTTTCTCATCTTAGTTCTCACCTCTTTCACTAAAGTCACTTATGCCTACGCTGAGCTTATTGCAGGCCCCACCACAAATCCTTGGAAGACTGCTGTGGTGACCTCATTATGTAAGACACACCGTTGTCTTAAGCCTCATTCATACAGTCATTTATTTCCCACTGATACCAAAAAAAGCAGACCTTACCATTTGTCTCTTAGCAGGCTTTGAAAAGAAAGTGACAACATCCTTTAATATATTTTCATTCTTCTCTGTTGCATTACAGTTTCTGGGATATTTATTATAGGAGCACTGTCCCACTGTTGTCTGTAAATAAAACAACATCATCACTGTTAGAAATTAAACATCAGATAATAATTAGAATACAGATTTCGGAAAGGCAAGAAGCTCAAAAGGAATGTAAATTTTACTTTCAGAATTTTAAAACACATGGAGCTGAAGATCTCCTATTCTTGTTCATTCGGCTTCACCATAGCTAACACCTTGAACACATACTTAGTACCTAGTTCTGCTATGGTCTGTTTCTTTTTTTCATATAGCTAATAAAATGATATTAAGTAACCTGTGCTTACCTTGATGTCCAATATGTTGAATAATTTGACATCACTGGGTGGAAATGCATTAGGTATCATTATCTCTAAGTTTGTATTTGGAGCCATGCTTGGTCCTGCACTGATAACCTTGTGGGGAAGAATGTTACACACTTAAAGCTTTAATTCGTGGTAGCTATTTAAGTAACAAAAATATTATATAAAGCATAAATACATAAAACTTCACAGAATGGGGTAGCACCGGCATTGTTAACGCTGTCGTGAAAGTGGATTCTGCTAGGAGTTGTAACTTTTACCTTAATTCATTCTGTAGGCTTACTGAACCCTTCACTTCTCTGAATGCAGAGTAAGTAGTGCTAATCTGCAATGACTACCCTGAGGTCATACAGACTGCCTTCCGGGAGAATATGCAAAAGGAACTGGGAGAGATTAATGTCTAACTCCTGCTTTTAATCCATTTGAGACAAATCTGATACCTGTAGATCCTCTTATAAGGAGTCCCCTTTGCTTACCATAAGATAATTCCTTTTAAAGTGTTTCTCAATGGAAGAAGTGGCAAGTCAGAACTGCTCTACCACTCAATCCTGCTTGTGCCAAGTATTTCTTCTCTGACCGTTCAGTGGAAGATCATCCAACCCAAAAAAAGTGTTCAAAGAGGGATTATTAACAGCCACTTCCCATCACTACTGCCCAAAAGTTGCTCATCATGCCCCTGTACTCTTAAAAAAGTTCCCTTACTGACTGTGCAGAGTGTCATTAGATACACTGGAAATCTAAGCACTAACCTTCAAAACAAGGATAACAGGGTTTACAAAGAGAAACTCTTACATGGAAAGTGAAGTTGATACTCTCCTTCATACACATAGCTGGTGAATCTTCCTCATTTGTTCCATAAACAAACGAAGCTGGTGATACAAATCTACAATGGTTTAGAAGTTATTAATGAATAGAATTGCTATATATATCTCATTAGTATAACTTTCTGCTCCATGCTATCTCCAGTAAGATTGGTTCTAAGAAAATACACCAGTTTGCATTGAAGTAAATCTAGGAACACTGAGTAGAAGTCCTCTACCTTCCTACTCTTTCCTTTTAAAAAGGCAGATGAATCAGAAAAAGTCATGAATCATCACTATGCTTCATGAATGCCCCAGAACACAGATCTGCTGTGCTCTTATTAAATGCCTCTTTCTATAAAAAATATTAGTCTGTTAAGAGACAAGTTTGAAGCACTATAGATATCATTGGTCTCATCTCATTCCCAGGATTTCTCAGCTACGTCATGCTTCTGCTTAAAAGCTTTGGGAATTTAGAATAGTAACAAGACAGCAGTTCTATGGATGTGCAGGTATAGCAATAGCTGACTTACTTACCCATGAGTGTTTAACTCAATCTCATATTTTAGAGGTACATCTAAAGTCAGCGTGTTATCCAGCAACATGTTCTCATCTTCGTTTTTACTGTAAAAACACAATGAGAGAAAAATGAGTATTGAATGCATCTTCATATGCTATGCATTATTTCTATAAACAAATACTAAACGGATCTTTTGGCTTATTAAAACAAAAATATTTTATTGGTAACAACATGTCAGGCAGTAAAAAAAAAATAAAAGGAACATTTTATACAGACAGAAACCTGCTCATTATTTAAATAGCTATTATCTGGTTTTTTTTATTTTCCCTTACCCTACAGACGTGCAACTGATGTGCTTTCTTGCAATTGTGCTTTGCTAAGTCTTTCCAGTGTTCCCATTCTGTTTTCCAAAGCTAGTAATATTTTTCATTGAGCATTTTTTGTTAGACCTTACCAGGTAGCATTAATGAAGATGTTGAGGTCGTCTTCTGCTCTGGTAAATGAGCTTGCATCCAAGAGGAAACTAAAATCCAGCTGTAGAACAAATAAAATTTCCTTTATATCGAATGATAGTGTGTCTTGACACAGTTTAAATAAAAACATTTTATTAACCTAATTTAGAATTTCCTGCTCTAAAAAAATTCAGAGCCAAGAAAATGCTGGCTTTTTGTGTCTTCCTCTGCCTTTCTATTGACCTAACACATTTGTTCATAGCCTTAGTCAGCTCACTTGTCTAGGAAGCCAAGCACAATCAGCTGATGCCTAATACCAACAGTGCTGTCCCTGAATAAATTATTCCAGAGAGAGTTTAAGCAACTAATTTTAAAACTAGAAGAGAGATTCAGGTACCAACATGATAAAATATGTTAGTTGGGAATGAAGGAGATAGATAGTCTGAAAAACAAGCTTCTTCCCTCCCTGCCCCCGAAAATCCTCCTAACATATTTAGGGTGTTTTTAAAGCTAGGAACTTCATACATAGCTTACCTTTGATTTTTGATCTACGTATAAGTAACCAACGCTGCACTCTAGTTTCACTGCATGAATTTCTTTATCTAATACTTCACAATGTATCTGGGTTTCTTCCTAAAATAAAGGACAAATTATTAATGATTAAAATAAACTGCTTTCTTCAGACATTTCAAGTTACATAAACCACCCAATTTTAGCATGTGTGTATTTCTCAGAACTAGGTGTTTGTTATTTCACTGATGCAAACATACAGAACACTCATCTTATTCACGACTACTTTATATTGATTGCTGTATCCTGTTACTTCATCTTCTGTTTGCTCATAGTGACGTATGCATCAGACCCAGACCCACACAAGTTTAAAGCCAGTCTCTGGAAGGTGTCAGGGGGATTCTACACAGACAGTAGTTATTTTAAAAAGGCAGAAAGAGAGAAAAATTGGATTTGTGACTTCTTCATAGGACTATCTGTGAAAGCGAGCAGATTCAATGAGATCTTTGTGATCACTGAAAACCTGATCGTCAGACAAGTAGCAGTAACATCCTTGAAATATATTTAGAAACCATTTTTTTAAATTTTAGTTGTTACCATCACAACCTATTATTGAAATGGTTTAAGTCACCTGTATTGATTAAATTGCATGTGGTTTAGGTAGCAAGAAATCTGAGAACTTAAAAACTGGAGTTTTGCCAGCTTTTTTTTTTGGGGGGGGGGTAGGTTCTCAGTATCTAAAGAAACTCAACACAATTTAAAAAATGTCTGGCTGAAAAAGAAAAATATCAAAGGATTACTGTTTGACAGATTTTTTTTTTTTGTTCTTACCAATTCTAAAACTCGGATGAAATAAAGACCTTTAGGGATTTGGATGTGGAGGACGGTGTCATATGCTTCATCTCCAACATTAAGCAGAGAAATGTTCAACAATAAAGTCTTCATGCTTCCGACCACAAGATACGTTTTCTTATCATGAGGTGAGACCTATAAATTATCATACTATCAGTGAAAAGTAATTCTATGTACAGGTTGCATGCAAAAATACTCCTCTGCTGCTCTTTTAGTTAGTTTCATTTGGTTCTGACAAAGCTCAGCTGAGATCCTTAGGGAAGTTTTTACTCAGCCCTGTAACCGAAAGTACTACACCAGGCAGATGATGGTCAACTCCAGTACTGCACTTCTTAAGGCTTGAGGTTATTAATGTGGGAGCAAGAAAACTGTTATCAGACCAGTCATGCTTCTGGCTTCTACAAGCCAGGTCCTTTCCTTTACAGACCAGAGTAGCCATGTGCTACCCCTACAGTATTTTCAGATATTATTTCAAAATTCACTCTTTGTACTCAAAGTATAGGGCTGCGTTAATATGAAACAGGTCGCAAAGAGGGCAAGTGAACATGCCTCTCTTATGATCTATGTAATGTTCTATAATCATGTTACATGTACAGACACCCTATGGGGGGCTAAAAGTAAACTTCAGCTTGACATTAAAGTTTAATTAAGACTTGCAGAAAGGCTGCCTAGAAATAGACATTTATCAGATATTCTGGCTTGAAACCAAAGCATTAGTCACTGAACACCTCTGGGAAAGAAGCTGGCACTTTGAAAAGCAACAGAAGGTAAAAGCACTGCATAAGCAGATAGGTTCCAAGACAAAAGCGAATTAAAGAAAAACACAATGTTAACATTTCAGCAGCTTGATTAAGTTTAGGTTTAAAACTTAAAGTTGTTTTACTAGTTACATGCTTACTGTTCAGTCCTCTTATATGCATTAAAGCCAAGCTCATTAACAAGACGCTGTCACAAAGATGCCTCCCAGCTTAACACGCAAGTACACAAAAGCACCAGGTGCACATCTGGGACTACAACAAAGCTGAACTAGAGCTTTTCCCCGGTAATCATATTTCATTCTTCATTAAAAAATGCATGATGCGGACTAGAAATTTATGGAGCAGGCCAAAATCTAAGCTATTTAAACAAACATGATAGTGTATACATGAAGACTCATAACTCAGTAAGTAAAGCATTACATTGACACCCCTATTTGATTTCATTCTTTTAAGACTAAAAGTGTTTGCTTTGCTGTTCAAGGATAATGAATGCATTCTGTCTAGACAAAATAAATTAACGCTTCACAGCTAACTAGTTTTTAATCGAGATTCTAGGGGCACAACGTAATTTAAGGTGATACTTCACACTTTATCAAGATATTTAGCCTATTTATTTACACTGAAAATCTGCTACTGGTACCTAATGCCAAGCAGGTATGTTGTAATCTGTTTTCCTTTCTTAGAGCTTTGAAGTACTTTACAAAACTGTATTGCTAATGTCTCAAATGGAAATGCTGCACAATCTTTCTTTCCAAAAAGTTTATGACCCTTCAAATAACATAACCTTCGAGCCTAAGAAAATGAAAGGGCTTAAGACTCGTGCTACAGCCCATGCGTTAAAGTAGGCAGAAAGATACTAATCTTATTCTGAAATCCATGAAGATGAAAAAGCTTGTGCTCAGGATCACACAGGTGTGATTAATCAGCATTATGTGACTGTCATCATCTTTCGGTGTCATTTTAGGTTGTTCAACCTAGTATTTCCATTAAAGTAGAATCATCTTTAAAAGTGATAAATTACACAAGGAAGTCCAGACACAAAATGCCTAACTAGCTGAGATGCACAACAGGTACAATTTCTCTTTTTGCACACCAACACCACATATTTCTTGCTTTGAAGTATAATATTCAATAAAGAAAAAGGTTGTCATGATAAGATGTAACTTAAAATCAAATCATTAAAATCCATTCTGAATAGAAATGATGGTACATGGCTTAACACTTTCCAAAGATGATGCTAAATAGAAGCATATCTCACGAAGTATCACTTGCTGTAATACAGAGTCTGTGAGACAATAATAATTGTATTTAAATACTTTGAAAGTGCATTAATTATCTTGCATAACAACCACATTTAAACATGATACCTAATTGGAAGGAATGGGAAAAACTGAAATATACTAAAGGGTACACAAAAAAAGTTAGGGATGTAAATGAAAAAAAATCACAAACCAAAATTAATTTTGGAAAATGCAAGCTAATTCAACCATCTGGTGTCTCAATCAGCAGCATAAAACCGAAGATATAATATTCTTAAGTAAATGAGGAAAAAGAGCCACTTAATTATTTTATAATTGAAATAATAAACCTTACAACATCTTAGTACAAAACTAAAGTATCTTCTTCGTACAGTGCAAGTACAGTATCTTCACAAGAGCAGCAGTAGAAGTAATTGATAGCTTGTCCATTCAACAGTAGTTATGATGTCTATATATTGACTACGCATCGTGCACTGTAGCTTAGCCCAGTTATATATGAATTGTCGGGTACAAGTTTACCTTTTTGTGAAGAAGATACATTTTATGAGCTGTGAGTCTTCTAATTATGCAAGAACAGTTCTTCAATGATACACATTTCTGTTACATTTCCTGAAGATTTACAATTTTAAAATATTCTTCAACTAAACACAGCTTTACTCCTCATTTTCTCAGGGACTCCATAGTCTACTTTTGCAAAATCATGTTCTTTAAAAGATTAAGGAATAATTTGGATAAAATCTTACTGAACTTCTTTCAGAAAAATGGAAGCCACATTATACTTACTTTGGAAAAACGACTTTTCCAGAAACTCTCAAGTCAGCAGAACAGTTTTCATGGGAGCAAAATCTTGCAAAAACAAACTATATAAGACAAATTAAAAAAAAATAAGCACTTTAATGTGTTATGCATATTATAGTGAGTAAAACCATTTCCAAAGAAAGAAACATATCACCTTGTTACCAAGTATCTGGAACTGGCTAATAGCTCTTGCTCCTAAAACCAATTTAATCGGGCTATGATTTGCCATTTTCCAAACACATTCTGGGCACCCTGAATAACAACAGAGAGGCTTTCCAGACTCAGTCTCTCACAATTAAGCAGCAGGTGTATGTTCAGCTGATCTTTTAAAAGTAGCACATAAAAAGGGCAGAGTGTTTTACAGGATCCAGAACCGAGGTCTCTGCAGACTCTCCTTATGATAGAGCACATCAAATTTTGCGAGAGTTTCATCACACAAACTTTACTTATCATACTTTTAGTAAGGTTTGATGAGACTAGAGACACCATGAGTTGCATGTGTCTGTGCCTTGGCTATCAGCACACTATAGAGCACGGTTATGTCGCTGTATTCAACAACACCCTCTTTCTCTCTAACTCTGTGGTTTCTAATACAAAATTTTGAATGAAGATGAAAAGCATGCCATTTAAAAGGAGCTTTTATATATCTCAGAGTTCTGATAGTCAATTGCATCTGAATTACCGGAAGCTTACTGTTTGTTAAGTCATAATATGTTTAGGACCATTTGGTAGTTAAAAATTCAAAGCATCCTGACTTTTGCTTAAGTCAAGTCTATTAATTCTTAATAAGTGTTTTTGAGAAAAAAAGTTAACTTCATACTCATTTAAGGATACAGAATACACTCTCCCCCCCCCCCCCACAGAACTAGTATTTCAGCAACATCTTTGAAACATTTCGTGATTAATACCAACATGATATTTTGTATTTAACACAGAATTAATTTTAAAGAACAATTTGATACCGGAAAGTGACTCATCCTGTGCAGTTGAAAAAGAATGAATATTTCAAAGAGCGAATTTCACACCTGTGTGTTCTGAGATATTTAGTATTATATATTCTTGCAAGTTCTCTGCACATACCTTTTTTTAAAAAAAAACCCAAACCATAATACAAATTGTATATCAGTTCTGCAAAGAGGTTTTTGGTTTGTTTTGGGGTTTTTTTTTAGCAAAAAATTAGGCATTTTTTAGCATGCTGGTGCATTAATTAAGATCAAGGCACTAGGTGCCGGACTGGAAAATGCATTCCTTCACATGCTATGGATGTGTGAAGCTTTTTTAACGGAAGATTAAAACGTGAATATTTACTTACTGCATTTGAAAAAAAGAATTCATACACTAACCTTGCTTTTTATAACATCTTTATCTTTCCTCTGTTGAAGAACAGGTTGAAGTGGTGAAAACTCTTGAGCATTTCTTTTCTGTAGAATATGATGCCCCAGTTGGTAGCTTGCTTCAACATGTACAGGAGTCAAGATATCCCTTACATCTTTCTATGAAAATTGGAAACCTAATAAGTTAATCATATAAGACAAGACATGTATGCTTATGTTTTAAAGATTATAAGGTTCCCTAGAACTAACTAAAACAGGAACACTTATTTTTTACATGTAAAATAATTTCATATGCCATATGGCTCATATATGTTTCCAGACATCTTTGTCGCTGAAGCAGGTAATCAGAAATGCTGAAAAGCATAATACATTCAATGACAGCATCAGGCATTTCAGAATGGAAGCGCCTTTTATTAAAAGAAGTCTTATTGAATAGTGAACCTATTTCTGTCAATAATACTGCCTTACACACCTGCTGTATGTTGCCGTACTGCCCAAATAGAAAAATAGGCAAAGGTTGGCTTAAATGGAAAAAGTTAACCAGTGGGATAATGCCAGACAAAACCGATAGGATATTTCTGTATGAAATCAAAAGGAATTCTCCCACCATACCACTAAATCAGGTCATGACTGCATTTTATTCTTCTGCTTCTTTATTTCCCATTCTGTATTAAAAAGATTAAACTCCTCAATAAATGACCATTTTGTACATAAAGCCTTGACTGTGTAGGAACGTTGCAGATCAGAGCCCAAACTACCTACTTGTGAAAACTGAACAGCTTGAAGCACCGAGTACTAACAATAGCAAACCTGATTAAATTATTCCCTAAGTGTAGGAGATAGACAGACACTGATTGTCCCTCCACATGGCCACTACTTTAATTCTTATCTGGAAGCTTGCTTTGGCCAAATCACATATTATCTAATCCATAATAATTTTCCACAAGGTCTTCTCTGCATCTGCTTTATATTACTTCCATTATACTAATTAGCTATTAATTAGTCTTTACTCAAAATACATAAAACATACATTGTCTCTTGCAAGGACTGTACTTGACAGACATTCACACTTACTTAACTTTAGGAGCTTCGTACAAGTACAGAAACCTCAGTGGGTGGAAGGAGATGCTTATAATGCTATTAATTAAGAATTAAAAAGAAAAAAGAATTATATGGAGGAAAAAATCCTAATGATAGGCTATAGGAAGTGATGAGCCAAATCATATCCTTCCTCCTACACAAATACCTGCTGATGCTGGTACAGCAATCTGTACAAGGTCAGCTGTCAGTCAGATCCCTCTTAGCTTACAAAACTCATATAAGTAAGTGGCAATTTGCCATTGCTCCTGTAAGTAACATTCATTTAGGTGCAACTACCAGTTGAGATGCATCTGGGCAATTTTCCAGTAGATAACATAAGCTTTCCTTTCCACCCTGAAGCTTTATCATGAAGAATTGGCTTCTAATGGTGTCATAAACAAAAAATAAGTAAAAGGAAGGAAGAAGAAATATACATGGAAGACTTTTTCCCTGCAGGTTTTTTTGTAGGTGTAGAAAATTAAGTCTATTTCCCAGCCTGTGTGCAGGCTCAACTGCACCTGTCACCTTATTAGATCTTTGCTACCTTGGGCATTTTAAAGAAAAGACTAGGCAAACTAGTCCATTATTTTATTACCCTTGTTTCCCCTTACAGCTAAATACTCCCTGTCCCTTTAAACAATTCTTTTCCCCTTTAGATAAGGTCTTACAGGAGAGAAGTCTATTTTTTCTGAGTTTAATAAAACATGGTTCCTCTCTGTCCGCTAGTTTTTATCATTTAATTGTGGGTTTAGGACTTCAAGTTCTTCCCATTTATTCTCCAAAATTTTTGTTGGAATAGGCAAGCTTCTAAGATGTTTGATAGACTGAATCACTTTTATTCTTTCTTGTCCAGTAAATAGCCTTAAAAATTTTATATCCTTGTCCTGATTGCAGTTGTTTTTACTTTCAAGACAGGCCCCTCATTCATCCTTCAGAGCGATACATCAAGCACGATTACAACAGTTCGTTTCCTCCAGGGCAACAGTAACTTTGAGATTACTGTTGCAGTTAAGATCTTACTGACTAGATTTTTACTAACTTACTTCCAAGTCAGTACCTAAATTTCAAAGGATAGTTGTTGTTGTTGGATCAAACTCTGCTTCTGGAGGAACCAACAGCTAACTTCCTCCTGCTGAGTAGCTGCTACCATCTCTATTATTGGTGTTGGTACAGGCCTCCCTGGCTAGCTGACACCTTGCAAATCTCGTGGCTTCTCCTCTGAAGCACTTCTACTGGCAGATTCCTTCTGCAACAAAGTTGTAGAAACCTTCACAGACAGAAAACTGTAACCACATTCACTACTAATCTGGTCCAGGATTCAGGTTGGTACGTCCAGGAGGAAGACTTATCTGTGCAGGCTTCACTTTTGTGAGCAGAATAGAGAGATCACTTTGTCAGCACAGTGCACGTTCTTCAAATTGTTCAGCCCTAAATTCATTCATGAAACTGCTGCGAGCACTCTTCCTACCCTGTTTTCCACCTCTTGATTCTCTGAGTATTTCCCTTGGTGAGTGCTGAATCCCTTGCAGGGAAAAATCAAACAATTCTGAGCAAGTGTTCTGCTTCACACCCTGCTAGCCTTTGGCTCCTTGCAACACATTCACAAAACAGACCACGCTATAAACCTGCAACTATAGATTCTCTTCTAGCAATTATCTTCATTTCACTTCCTATGGATCAGGAACGGGTTCTTTTCTTATCAGGCGAGTCTACCTCATCTACTCACAGTAAAAAGAGGAGCAGGACCATACATGTGTTCTTTGAAATAGTTACAAATGAGAAAATACAATAAACATTTTCTCTCTGTAATTAGAAGTTTTAAGATTTTGCATTAAGGAGAACATAGGAAAGTTCCATCAGAAATGTTCAGCAGAAAATGTATGTTATACCATGTCTATTTGGTTGCTCCAAACTGGCCTCAACCTATGATCTGTCATCCATTAGAAAGGGTGAAAAAAACGTCAAGAATGCTTACTTCACCACTGTGATAATTATTACTATGCACATTCTCATTGACATAGGAGATGGCAGACCCACTGACTTCTTCACAGAAAGCTGAGAAAGCATCATAATTGAAATATATTAATAGTGGAAGTTACAAACACAAGTATTTTACTTCCAAAATGATGTGATGCAATTGTAAATAAAATCGGTTCTTTTGCAACAGGTGTACTTTTCAAAGGAGAACAAAGGATTTACAGGACAACACATACTGAAAATTACATTACCCTCATAAATGTTGGATGATCTTTGCAGGCAGTACTCTTGCTGTAAATCTTAACACTTCCTGAGATTGTATCAGATGTTCCATTGGAGGAAAAATAAAATCTTGCTTGTGTATCCACTTTTCTGTTCACGTCAACACTCAGAATATAAAGCAGTACTGCAAAATAAAACCCAGGGAAAATAAAAGTTATAAAAACTTTAAGTGTTATAATTTTCATGAATGTATGATAGAAGTTAAATCTTCTGACTTACTTCCTTCAGTATGTTCCGTAATACCCATTTTGAAATGCTCCGCTTAAAAATTCTCTGACATAAATCCATACCTAATGAAAGCTTCTAGCCCTAAAAATCTAGAAGATTGATTGCATGATGACTGATCCCTGATAGATGCTCTTACATCAGGGATAGTTTTGTCAAATTATATTTATAGTTTTCTATCAGAATCTATCTAAAGAAATCCTGCTTCATTTCCTTACAGGGCTGACATTAAATTTCAAGAAACAGACAAGTCAACAGACACTAACAAATGTGTAACTTCACATTTTTTTCTATTTAAGTTAGCATGGATTGCTATGATAACAAACTGTAAATAAGTTTCAGAGCATTACTGATCTATTACTTCTTAATGTCTGCCAAAGGTTGAGTTAGGATATTCAGAATTTTGTCTAGTCTTTTTTATTTAAGTTGAAAAGCCTTATGTCCAAATCCAGCAAGGGTAATGCAGTCTGACTTGTTGCTTTCACAACAGATATGAATTTCAAAAGACCTGAACTTGAAACTTTACAGTTCATCATTGGATGTGTCCTCTGTATTGCGTTCCTAAAGGATATTGTATATTCTCATACAGAAGATTTAAGCAATTTGATTTTATATACCATGTATTTGCAGGGCTGTTCACAGTTTACAAATAGCACGTGACAAGTAGGTTGAAAGCACCCAGGCAATACAGTCAAATTTAGACAGTAAATAATTTTAAGTAAGTTCATTGTGAATATTCCCTCCAGTAGATATTGCTTCAAGCAATACCAGTTTTCGCCAAAAGCAAAATATGCATTATATAAAATATAATACAAGATATGTTTTCCAATTTTGATGGGACTCCCTCTCTTTCACATAATGTTCCATAACAGCACAAACAGGTGCTTGAGCTGCTTTATGAAGGGAACGTCTTTTCTCTATTGCTAAGTGGAAGACTGCATCCTACAGCAGTCCCATGTGGTTCGGTCCACGTCTGGGAGGACTGCTTTTAGAGGACATCTGAATATCATGCTGAATAATCCCTTTGATTCTACATTAAGAAAAGACATTCACCCACCATTAATTCCCTACCTAATTGCAAAGCAACAGCCCAGACTTTTGCATGTGGGAAGTTCAGACAAACTTGACAGACACTCCTGTTGGACCCTATGCAAAACAGAATATGGTCCCTGGGCAACTACAAGAATGTGTTCACAGAATAAGTGCACTCTGTTTCTTTGTGAACCCTGATGGCGTAGTATCCCATTCAAAAACCTATCAAAATGATGGATCTAGTTATTATGATGCTACGAAAGGGACCATCTGAAATGGCATCATTACAATGTAGTTCAAAAGTATGAGTGTGAATCTAAACACACCACTGTTAGGTAAGTTAATTCAGGTACCAGAATTAGCCTATCTACAATGATACTGTTTTAGTGCTGCTGCAAAACCCATATGAAAATATCACCAAATGGTTGTGCACAGCCCCAGCTGAATTCTTTAGCATCACAACCCAGCTAACAAGCTAAAAATTAGTCTTTGTTCCTCTAAACCAGTTGCTATCCAAACTTTAGATTACTTTGTTGATGCAATAGATAACTTGGAGTTCTACCTTCATCTTCAAAATATCTCACCCTTTTTAATGTCACTCTCTTCTAGGCTATGTAACTCCAGTAGTCCTTGTAGGGATGTGCTGTTATTCTAAACTGAATAAAAGTGTAATGGCTCAATGTTATAGGGTAACTATGAGCTAAAAAACGTGTCCATGTTTTTAATTTTTCATTTTATACTGAACTCAGATTAATAGACCACTAAATACCAATAGCATTATCCTGTAAATAGGTACATTTAAAATGAATACATATACTGGAATTTTTTCCAAGTAGCTTACCAATATAACCAGGTACCTCTCGTCCTGTATAGGTAAAGCATATCTTTAAATTCATACAGGTGGCAGGCTGGTCATTTTCCATGCAGTTTAAATTAGTTCGATTTATTGAATTAGGATGTTTTAAAGAAGCTTCAACAATTATCACTGGTTTCGTTCTAAGAATAAAAAAGAGTTAATGTTCACAAAACACCAGAAATAGCTCACAGAATGTCTGCAGAATCTAACAATGCCTGACAGAATCTATTTTTATATTTTATAATTATCATTCTTTAAGCTGTCTGCATTTTTCAGAATCCAAATAGTTGTATGCACATTATGTGTTGGCTCAAGAAGTTTCAGAATATTTTCTTTTTCTTCAAGGAGCTTACTTAAATATTTCTATTGTAGAGCATTCTAGAGCCTAATGACTGAAGTTCAAGACACCAAGAAGAGTATCACGAGGTTAAAATATGCTACTGAGTTTTATTAAACTGCATTAAAAAATACAGCTAAATTGTATGGTCTTTAAAAGCACTGAAGTGTAGCAATCTTACCTCAGCACCACAGCAGAATCAGAGAGAAATGCACCGACTGCTACATCTGTACAAAAAACCAAATCAATAAGCATAATTTGTCAACTGGAATTACTTCTCAGGTACAAGTATTTTGTAGCACATTCACCTTTTGTTCAGCACTAAAACACCATTTGCCCTTTATTTATTAGAAGGCATATGCTAATATTCAAAGGTGGTATTCTCCGCCTAGAAGATGATTCCTCAAATACTTGTCCACTGTCCGTTAATGCTGCGTGCTAATTTGCTGGACTTGCAGATATGGTAATGTGATAATCTGATTTCTAATCCGCAGTTAAGTGGCTGATGCTGAAGGACAATTCAGCTAAATAGGAGGTACTTGCCTTCTTTTTAATCCAAATATTCAACATTGCTATACACACACCCCCCTATACATAAAAAATTCAGTTATATATATCTATAACTATATATATATGTATGAAATTATACACAGAGATAGATAGAAAAAATTTATTTAATTTATTCCAAACTGAGTGAAAACTATTAATGCAATAAGGATAGAAATATACACAGTACATATATGTCTCAAATGAGGTAGCAAAAGTGAATTATCAGCTGAGTCTAAATGATACAAGGGTCTGAGGATGTGACTCCCAAATCAGTAAACAACAGGTGACCTGAATGCAGACTACTTGTACGCTACCTCTTAGCCCAGCTTTACAAATGAACCTCGGTAACTCTTGTGTTGACACAGACAGAGCATACAACATGCACTTCATGACAACTTTATGCTTTTACACCCCCAGGAGCCAGACAGGCAATACTTGACCTGATGTAACTATGCTTATTCGCATAGTGTCAAAATGTTTTGACAATATATATAAAACAATGACCATATACTTGGAACTAGCTAAGTTGTTTTACACCATATTAGCATTTCTGTGTCATGCCCAGAAGAACTCCACAACAGTATTAATCTAATGCCGTGAGCCCTGACTCATATTAATGTATTGTTCACACAGACTGAGAGTCGTGGAGCTCATGGCAAAATCCAGACTATGTGAAAATTTTTAGGTTAGCACACTAGTCCGGACAACAAACGTGCTTCCAGTGCCCAAACTAGCTCATTGTGACACTAGCAGATGAGATGGCGGCTGTGAAAATATAAATTACATTTTTCTTCCTCTCGTGCACTATGATCTTACTATTATATCATTCTTAATCCTCAAATAATAGTTAGATGACCATGAAAACTGTTTGGCCTCAGCTTTACCTCTATTTTTTTTCTTCCCAAAATGCCAGATGTGACATGTCATCTTAAAACCAGATTTTGCTTCTGTTAAAAGTAACAAGTAGCACGGTAGGGTTGTTCCCTATGAATTTGTACTCTTTTAAAAAAGAAAAGTTAAAAAAGTTGTTTAATTCACCTTGATAACCATTGTTATCTGCATCGATGCCACTTGCTATGGATTGTCCAAACATTCTTAAAGAATTACTGACTTGATGTCCTTGTATTCTCTGAGGAGGGGGAAAAAAAAAAAAAAAGAGAGAGAAAATTATTTTGGGAAAGCTAATCTCTGAGTTACAATAACCAATGAAAAATGTTAGCACAACCATCCCGGTGCTGAAGGCAGCTAACTGCCTACCTGTGAAAGTGCACCTCTGAAAGTAACAGTCCTCAATTACTGCAAGTGTTATATCCCATAAACCCTGTCCAAGGCCTCCAAAACAATTTGTTTTTCTGTTACAGGTTGTATTATGACTGGAAATCACAGACAATGTAAAAAATTTATGAAGTCTTTTACAGTACCTCAGATGGACTGAGTGTTAAATGAAGGGAAAACCCTCTTGAATTTAAACTTAAGTTTTTTCTGGATTGATTAGTTTGCATTGAAAAAGCTTACCTGTGAAAATGATGGCATTATTCCGTCTTCCCTGCCATTGTATATATAAATAGCTCCTTTTAGATTATCTTCTTGTGGAGCCCCAATTGCTACATCTGTGGAGAAACAATTTAACAATAATCAGTTAACTAGGGAACATGAACAAGGAAGAGTTAAAGAAATCCAAATCATGATGCATGCGATGGCAGACCAAATTTATTTGACTGATTTCAAAGAAGTGCTGAAGATTAGATATAAAGCAAACGGACACAATACAGGCCAGCTCAGTAATCTGATTCTGCCTTAAGTACTATGTTTCTGAGCCAAATACAGCCATTTTGTTCAAGTCTGTTCCTACCAATACTGAATTTGACCCTTAAGAGGTTAAGAGGTCATCATGGAGAACAGCCAAAATGATCATGGTCTTTTTTAAATAAAAAAAAAAGCCTTATATTCATGGAATTATGATGATTTTTCTGCACTCTGCTATTCCCACATGGATTAAATCACTGAAACACAAGAAGTACTCTTATTACGCTGCCTGAAATGAACCATTTATTTTTCTATGAAATGTCCTTAAAAGCTGATAACAGGCTTGAACAGGCACTTAACAAGGAAATGAAGGTAGCTGGTCTGTACAAAGGGATGTGCTTTATGCCTAGATGATTTAATCCCAGAGGGGTGTGGCAACACATAAACAAACCAACCAACCCATCCACCCTCAACAGCCCTTACCAAAAAGCCCTGTGGTTCAAATAGCCAGAGGTTGTTAACCAAAAAAGTGGAGGGTGGGGAGATGAATTACATCATCTTGAAATTCACTAATATAAATCAATAATTGTGAACTTTAATTCACAAATAAGCAAAACTAAACTATCTTTAAATACTGTATGCTGCACCAAACCAAAATCACAAGAAAAGCAAAGCTCTGACAATTTCGTTTTACTGAACAATTGTCTGATTGAATCCAAATTGATTGAATCCATACTTTGGTGACTAAAACACACAAAATATGTCTCTCTACTGGTGAGATGAAAATAGGACAGCTAAGTTGTGCTAATTAGAATTACACATATGTTCTTGAGGAGGTCAGATTCTACACCAACACGCACAACATTATCTTCACATGGCTGATACTGTTGGGTTAGATTACTGAACAAGTTGGCTCTGCTGTGCTTTTTTATTATTTACTACAGACAAATGGTTTCTAACACCCAATTTCTCTTTATATTTTGCTTCCAGCTGTTTTTCTTACAAAATTTATTTTCCTACTGCCACTCTCAATATTGCTTCCACTTTTTCTTTTCAATGTTTTTGCTCCCTTCAAAAGCTAATCCACTTGTTTGCTCTGCCTCCCCCTGCAGCTTTAGGATGCCCGTTTTACATTATATTCTGTGTCATACATGTACTTTGCTATACTGCTATTAATTTGATTTTACTTCTCTGTTCCCCAACCCTACATTTGAATATGGTTTTCCTTTGCAGTTTGCAAATGGTTTGGGGCAAAAAATGAGACTTGCCTATAAAATTGTGAAGGTAATGCAAAACAGGAGAAACAAAATCTATTAAGAGTTCAAGGAACAGGTACTAAGGGAAGGGGGGGGGGGAAGAAAAAAAAAAAAAACCTGGACTGCATTAAGGAAAAGGAGACCAGATAAGAAGAGAATGACTGTTCCAAGCTCTGCAGGTTACAGAACAAGACCAAGAACACAAGGCAAAGGGAATAGTGAAAGAAGAACCCTGGATGATAACTGCAAATAAAAAGGGTAATTCAGAAGCGTTGGGAAAGCCATGGACCTGGTAAAGATACAGCCCAGAAAAAGCTGACAGTTTTTTGTACAACGGATATTATCTCCCTGCATACAGTCCAAGTTTTGATGACGGAAAAAATGAAACTGTTTATGAATTTTTGAACAGTAGAAAATGCCTGCTGTATTTTTATCCTGTCCCTACACAGCCTATTATGCCTGCCCTTCTGCTAGTGGGGAGTACATGCCAGTTTTTCAGACAGGAATACTGGCCATTCCTATTTGTTTGAAATCATGACAAGATGAATGAAGCCACTGGGCCAGGTCCCCTCTGCTTGTCTTCAGTCTAGCTGGAGGCCTCCCAGTTGGCTGTGTTTTTGCAGGCTACCTGAACAGCTAGTGAATGGTCTTGGAAAGAAAGAAGCTGAGAGCAGTAGACCATGGGGCTTTCTGTAGCAAATACATTTTAAGCAGCCTAACTGGAAGCAGAGGGGAAGTAGAAGGCAATGACAGTCACTCTAGATGTTTTAACACATCTTATATCCTTTCATCTGTTTTCTTTAACTGAAATACCTTTTATCTATAATTTTTGCATGGCATTCTCTTTTCAATGTCTATTACTTTTATGCTTATTACAGAGGTTAGACACAAGTCTGGAGACTGAATCTCTCTGCCCTCTGAGCAGGTTCCCTCTCAACAATATCAATGGAAATTTCATCCCATATTCTCATCATAGAGATGGTGTTTCAGTCTGGGCAGTAGGGAAGATGGGAGGATATTCTCAGTTTTTCTTTAGGCACCAAACTTTATGTGCCTGAAATAGATGCTTCTGTATAGACAACAGGAAGAAAAAGCTCCCTCAGAGCCCCATTAACATTTTTAATTTATTATCGGGGCATGGCCATCAAAGTCCTTCCCTGTGTTCTCCATCCTAGCCCCACTGGGAGCCAATGCTAGGCAATTCATGAGACATCTGAGGGCTTGAGTGGGAAGTAGTCCCACAATAGTTTCCCAATTTGCAGTTCGTTTTTGATATCGCTGTGCATTTAGTACTTCCTGTTGGTGACACAAAAGCAGATCTTGACTCAATGTGTAATTTTTATTGATGTTACAAAATTGCCAAATTGTTCCTCAACTGTTGTCTCACATGTCTAGAACAGGATTAGGAATTCCACTTGAGGTCCAGCACCCAAAGTTACAGACTATGTTACTACCTTATGCTCATGCTCTTTATTAAAGCGACAGAACCTAATTTCTTGGTATTACACATCAATGACCGTGAAACAGCTATATTTCAAATCAGTGGCCTAGAAAAGAAAGGTCAAGTCACCAGCTGAAAATCTTCTCAGACTTCCATAATCCTCGTGTTTATTGTGGCAGTCCACTGCTCAGAGAGAATTAAACCCAAGGGGTTTGGGGGTTTTTTTTAGATGCTTACCTTCAAACCCATCATTATCAATGTCTCCTAGATTGGCTATGGACTCTCCAAACCTGGCTGCATATGAGTCACTCCCACTGAGTTCTATGTTCAGTTCTACCATCTTTGCGTCCTGAAGGAAAACAGAGTCAATGGCACATTAACAAAGCATCTTCCAGGTGACCTGGAATATTACTCAAAATGTTAAAACTGCCTTGAATGCCAATATATAATCCTACTGAATTCTTTGGTGCAGAAGTGAGCATTATCAAAGACTTTTAACAGTATTTACTGTAAGAATAGCAAAGAGTAAGAAAGTTGTTCTTTAAGAGAGAGAACAGCAATGTGTTCCCATTACAGCAAACACCTGTAAACAGCAGCAAGCTTGTAACAGAATACAGGGGCTTACTGCTCTGCATAAACTGCATTTGCTAAAAAGGTAGTAAACGGTAGCTGCTTCAAAGCTATTGTATGGGCCTTAGTTAGTTGTAGGTATCCTGGAGTGACTTAGTTCTCTGTGAGGAAAACATGTTAAGAAAATGTTATTTGCAAGCATAAGAGAAAAAATATGTATTGGTGTGGAGAGGAAAGGAAATGAGATACAAAGATAAAATTTACAAAGACAGAAAAATTCAAAATCACACAAAAAAATAGTGATTATACTTTCACATCTGATCCTTAAAAAGAATAAAAGGAAGCTAATTCTAATGCATGATACGTCCAGTTACTTTATTTGCCAAACTGAAGACTACCAGTCTCCTTCCTTACTGGTACAATTAACTGCACGCAAATTTTTCATTCCTTGTTTGTTTCTGAAGTGCTAAATAAGGTGCTTTTCACGTGCCAGTAAAGCAGTAAGCATGGTAAGGGAGGAGAGCTTGCAAAGAGACTGCAGTGCCAGGCTGCCTCCACCTGAAGTTACTAAGAAACAAAACCAGTCTGTCCTCAGTTCTAATGCCAGCGTAAGCTAAAACGCATTACAGTTTGTATAGCCAGCCTTTGCAGGTGTGGTACACAGTCCTGCTGGGATTATCATTGCAGTTCTAGAGTTATTTTTCCTATATCCTAAAATAATCTGTGATAAGAGAGAGGAAATCTTAGCTTGTTATACTAGAATGACCGTGTTACCATGTGTTTTTAAGAGAAAATACTTACAGAACCTGAATTGATATAGACATAAACTCTTCCTTCTTCTCTGATGGTACTTTGCATTGGAGCACCAACTAGCAAGTCTGAGAGGCCATCTGAATTCAGGTCCACAGCACAAACTGCAGCTCCAAAGTAAGAACCAAGCTGTGTGCAAACAAGAAATCACATTATTTTTGAATTTTGATGAAGACATGCTAGAAGTTCTAAGGTGCAGGAAAGTAGCATGAAGGATTTACCTTTTTACCCTTTAGTTCAAATAGAATATTTAGTTGCTTCCCAATGCTAAAAATATATGCCTAAAACAAAAACAAAATGTAAGTGGAGTTCAGCAAACAGTAATCTCAAATACTTTCCTGTGCTTTCTCTACAGCATGTGCTAGAGAATCAACAAAGCAACACACAGTATCACAAGGTATAGCTATTTACTGTTTCGTGTCTGTACCTTTCTCTAGCACCATAGTTCACAGCGTTACCTAGACTATCTTCCCTCATTCCTTCTTAGACTTTTCTTCCCATGAGCAATCATACGTATCTGATACTTGTCTTTAATATGTTAATCTAAATTGAAAATCACAGGTGGGTATGCAAGGGTATATTCTTCAAACCAACAGTATAGACAATCTCTTACTTTACCAGTCTGCTCCTGTTGGGGTGCCCCTCCAATTACTTCCATACTGGCTGGTGTCAGAAAGTGTCCAGCTCCAACAGAGTATCCTGTAAAGTAGAAATACACTATTCAATACTGGAAGTGCTATAAAAAGAAAAAAAAAAAAAGGGAGCATGACGTACAAAAGCTGTCAACACCACAAATTATTGTGAGTCTGACATTCAGACCTCATGCAAGTTTGCAATGAAACAGAAAAGAAAATTTTTCAAATGTAAGCAAAAGGTCGATACAAACAGTAAGTTCCAGCAAGCAGAACAAGTATCAGAAACACTCATTTCTTCCCAGGACCTCAATTAGCTGCCATACTTTAAAAGCCAATAAAATAAATTGCAAACACCTTCTGCAATGCATAGTCTACAGTTGTTCAGTGAGTCCATATTGTAACACAAATTAAAACAATCAAATGTCCATACAGTGCAATGTGGAGACACTTGACTCAATTATTAGCCTTTGACTGTTGTAACTGGACTGCAGAAAAATGAAACATAGTGCTACTTACATGCGCGTACATGTATACATACTCATACACAGACAGCATTGTGGATACACACATATGAGAATGCCAGGAACAAATCGGAGCAAAAGCTTAACTATGTAATAAGAAAATGTTGCATGAGCTTTTCTAACTGTATCTACATAATGAAGTATTTCTGTATGTGGAGACAGCTCTTAACAAACAGGACCGTATTTTGGTGCAGGTGTCCAGCCTCAGAATTGCGAACTGAAGGCTAAAACCTTAAATTTGTGGCTACACAAGTCATCCTTACTCTTTCCAAAATACATTACGGCTAAGTTGAAACAGGGAAGACAGTTAACATATCATGCTACTCTTGAATTTACTGAATGACTGTTGATTTTCACAGCATACAGGGAAAATGGAAAAAAAATCATCTTGGATCAGATGAGACTGAGCATTAAATCTTTCATCTGTGAAGACAACTGTCTAGAATTCAAGTTCTCATTAAGCCAGCTTTTTCTTTTCACATTTTAAGCTAAAAGAGGTACACAAGGCAATTTATCATTTAAAGGTCAACACCTAGTTTTTACTTATTCAACAAAAAATTAAGCCTAAGTGGATGAACCTTAATTTACCTCCTCTGACTTTTATTTTCTAGTTATTTTGGTTTGCTGAAGTATAAACATTGGTAATTACAATTAATTTTTTTTTTTAACCCAACAAAAAACCCCAAAGCCAAACACACTAAAAGGAAGTATAGTAATCAGATAGTCCTCATTTTTACTGTGGTATTAAAATGTCTGGTGGGGGAAGGATTACATAATTGACCCTTTAAATTTAAAGGCATAGTCAAATGAAATTTTATTTCTAACCCCAGAATTCTCTCCTGTTTAGCATTACTACAGGTTTACAGTTTTCTGAAATGTCATTTGCCATTCTCAGATTCCTAGAAGAAACTATTACTTTGTGATTTGTTTAAGGCAGTTTGTTAACTGCCTAAGGTTACTCTTTCATCAGGCCCAAATGATTTGAAAGACTGACAGACTTACTACTTTTAAAAAACGTGGGTTATTAATCTCCAAGATGCTCTGAAGTAGTCAGGGAAATACTACCAAATGTTATGTATTACCAGCTTATCTTTCTAACTTCCTTCTTTCTTTTAATTTTCTGGTACTTAAACAGCTTTGTTTCTTCCAACTTATGGAAAATGTTATGATCCTTTTGCGCGCTCTTCCTGTGAACTTTAACTTGTTAATTATTACTCTTTGACAATTTAATGAAAAGTGTAAATAAAGAAGACAGCTTCTCAGTCTTTGCCAGAAGAAGTAAAGTGTAAATAGATAATTATGTCTAGTCATTTGCTTGTCACAATATACTTCCACCACTTCATAAGGATATTTTTGTTCCTTATTTAAGGGAGAGGTAAATTAAGTCTTCCAAAAAAACCCCAAAAAACCCCAACAACCCAAACCCAAAAAACCACAACCAAAAAAACAACAAAAAAACCCCAAAAACCAAACTCACAAACTTTGGTAACAGAATTAACCCTAAATAGATTCTGGCTTTAAAACGATGCCAAAGATGGGACAGAACAGAAGCTGATGAAAGGGAAGGAGGGTACCTTTACATTCTTTCAACTACATTATGTATTATGAGGGAACAAAGTGGAGGTTTAAGTAGCATGGAACAGTTCAAAATGTAAGGTTTATCACAGCTGCTACTGTACACACAGATGAGCCAGCGGTCTCTTTCTCCACTTCCTTGTAGAAAGGGCAAGTTTAGAGGGCACATGGCTCTGCCAAGCTAGCGTGCTGGCTGTTACGGTTGCACCAGGCCACTGGAGAAGCGTTTGTGAAGGAAACTCCAGCTGATCTCAGGTCCTGGATAGCCAAGGGAACCAGAAGAGACCATTCATGTGTGGGGAGGCTTTCCCCTGCACCCTCCCCAGCACAGTCCTTGTGCAAGCTTTCACCAATTTGCCTGTATCTGGCTTCTGGCTATCAATTACTTGACTTACTCATTACAGAAATTATACTTGCAGGAGCAGAAGTCTGGAATGGGCATTTTTCCCCAGACAGGTGCAATATTCTTTCTGTTGACTGTTACCGGAAAGCTGGAGCAAGCATTCTCTAAAGTATTTCATTTGTCCCATGAAAGATTAGAAACGTTACTGGTTAACCATAGTGATCTGGGTATCTGATCACCTTTTTTCACCCAGCATCTCTTTTGCTGGACTTTACCCAACTTTGCCCAACTGCAGCCTTGCAAGGCTCAGTACTGAATTCTGAAGCATTAGCCACTTTGTATTTCATAACAGTTATTTTGTAACATATGCCTGCTTCCTGTTGTCAAAAGAGTGAAATCAGAAACAGGAAATGTTTATCCACATGAACCGGATCTATGAATGGGAAGATGTAAAAACCATGGTCACAGGCAAAAATATTCTCGCTCAGGAGCTCATCAACACATACAAATATCTTAAGGGTGGATGTCACGAGGACGGAGCCAGACTCTTCGCAGTGGTACCCAAGGACAGGACAAGGGGCAATGGGCACAAACTGAAACATAAGAGGTTTCAGTTGAATATGAGGAAAAACTGCCTTACTTTGAGGATGACAGAGCACTTGGAACAGGCTGCCCGGAGAGGGTTGTGGAGTCTCCTTCTCTGGAGATATTCCAAGCCCGCCTGGATGAAGTCCTGTATAATATGCTCTAGGTGAACCTGCTTCAGCAGGAGGGTTGGACTAGATGATCTCCCGAGGTCCCTTCCAACCCTTGCCATTGTGTGATTCAGGAAGGACAGACAAGCTTTTCTTAATGTGTAGTGAGAAAACTGAAGCTGCTCATGGTTCTAGCATAAACCCCTACAGATTCTAGCACTAAATCCAGCTAATTACTTGGATATAAGTACATGAATAGGAGCTTCATGGCTTGCTTTCCAGGCGTTCATAGATAAAGTTTGCCCTCCCATGTATCCAGACCAAGATATGGTTGGAATTTAAAAAAAAAAAAAAAAGAAATAATGATTGGAGGCAAGTCTGTCTCTTAAGATCACAGCATACTTCCCCTTAATGACAATGCAATTAAGACTCTTTTCCTTGCAGCTTTCACTGTAACCAACTTCTCATGTTTCTGCTATATGTGAAATCATTATGTCTTTTGCTATGAAGGCCCTTGGCAGCATTTCAGTATTAACAGTGAAGTGCAAACCATTGCTACCCAGGAACATATCTCTACCGTCTAAATCAAGAAATGATAGAAACTATATGTTAATATCTGGATAGTGGAGAGAGGATAAAAACATAAATCCAATGTTTGAGAAGCTTCCATGTAAAAAGAACAGAGAGGAAGCCTTATAATTAAATAATATTTAACAAAATCAGGACACATCTTTAGAACCGTCGCTTCTGGCATTAATAAAAGACACACTGATAAACACTGTGCACTCACTTCAAGATCAGCTATTTAGCTAATTCTTTGACTTGCATTTTTGTAAAGTATTAAATATTTTTAAGTACCTAGATAACTGCCAAATTTCACTTGGTTGTTTGAATCTGTATAAGCACGGATTTTATTTGCAGTTGTATTGTATACAAAAACAGAACCAGTCCAATAAAATGATCCAGGGGCTCCCATTATAATTAAGTCCTAAAAGAAAAATAAAACAAAGTCATGTTATTCCTATTTAAATATTCATGAAGAGAGCAAAACAAGTCAAATGCTTTTCTTTAGATCTCCATGCCACTGAGATCCACCTGACTCAGTACTGGGGGATTACCACTAGATCACAGACAAAGTTTTTCAGACTTCCTAAAAATATGGTTATTAAAAACTTTGAGCTGTGAACAACTTAAAAGACAGTAACAAACAGGGTATTCTCTTCTCAAAGGATTTTTTTAGAAATCATAATCTTAGGGTGAAATGGAGATTAAATAATACAGACTCTTACTCTGTAAAGCAAGAAGGTAAGCTTTATTAGTGTTAATGTTACATCAAACAGATTACTTTGAAGAGAATAATAAAACTTCATACTCTGTTGTATTCACGCTCTTTTTTCCAGATGAAAAGTAATTTTGGATGTAGTAAGGTGTAAACGTATTCTTGGGAATAAAAAGTGTTAGTTGGGAATTATCACGCAAGTCTTCCCACAATTCAATTAAAAAGAAATGGAAAAAGTCTGATTTTTCACTCCCACAAAAAATACAGTGTTAATGTTTGCATTTACATATACTTTTATGTATGTACACATACATGTAAGTGTGTGTGTATATATACATATGTATGTATGTAACATTTTGGTATCTTTAATACACACCTCAATGTAAAAAGTAGACATTCCAGCCTGGCACGACCCATAGTTTTCTCCAAACTTTCGCACATAATCTGGGAACAGGCAAGAAATATTAAAAAGTATGAGAAACGTGTAGTTTCAGAATTTGTTACCAGGTCTTCAACAGAAGTTGAGACAAGTTAAAAAAACTGCAAAACAAAACAACATTAGTTTTCAGTTCTGTAATAAAACTAGCAACACTGGTTTCCACTGCATAGCCTTTAGGTTCCATATAGTATTGGAACAAACTCAAAGCGCTATGCATCACTTCATCACAGCTTCCTTTGAAATCTTGTGACTTCAAAGGCTAAACTTCTCCTTTTGAATTTTTCCATTAATGAAATAGCGCAAATAGTCTGAGCAGCACAGCTAGATAAGCTTAACTCTTCTCTTCCACACTGTACTATTTAGGCATAATCTGATTGTCGGGCTTATGGATCTTGATAGGAGTTGCCCTGATGTTCCACTAGTGCTCTGAGGGGCTTGTGTTAAGGGCTACCTTAGGCATATTGGTATCTATCATCCTTAGCAGCTGTCTTTACTTCCAACTGTCCCAGCTCTGTTTTCCTGCTTTTCTTTGCTGACTGCCTCCCATCAGGGTTCCCTTCATCCCATCCATAGATTTGTTCACTTAAAAAGTCACTGAAGATAAAACCATGATTTCACCAACGCTCGTAACAGGCTCTGAAGCCAGCAGTGGGACGTTCTATCAGTCTGCACGGAACAGCCAGATTGTCAGCTCTTCCTTGCATTGGCTAGGGGCAGGGTAATGAGATTGTTCTCCTGGATGGGAGGGAGGTATGAAAGGGAAGGCAGGGATGGACTTGATAGCTTCAGGTCTTGACTCTTATTCTGCTCCTGCTGTCCCCTGAGGAAGGACCACTGAAGGTCTCACACCACAGCAGTGGCCTTGGCAGAAGGCAAGTAAGGAACAGAGGTACACACTGTGTCAAGGAACCATGGCAGCTTTGTATCAAAGGCTAAGGAGCAGGCAGCAACAATCACTTGCAGGTATTACTGCTGCTCTGCTGTGAGGCACTCTCCTGATCAGAGCGAGCAAATGACAGAGTTAAGGAAGGAAGGATGTCCTCTACTGGCCTATTTTTGAGAAGCACACATCCTTCAGTGATCCAGTCCAAGGAGCAAGTATTCTGATGCCCTATTTAAATTATTTTTTTGCCTGTTGAAAGAAGCTTTTATTTGATGTGATAAACATCTTGCTAACAAGTTTACATCATAAATTGGGCTCGTATCATCAGTACTCAATCTTCAAACCTTTGGCTGCAGAAAACCTGCTCAGAACTCTTCATGAACTACCCACCATGCCATTATGTATCTTACCCTTCCCTACAAAGGGCCCAAGCATTCCACTTACCTACATAGCATGGGGTTATGCGTCTACTTAGTTCAGTTCGAAAATCAGAAGAGACAGCAAAACAAATACCATATGGGAGTTTGTGTTCACTTTTTATGTAAAAGATATTTTTCCATCTATGCCCACAAGCCTATGGATGAAAAACAAACAAACAAACATGACATTTGACAGAAGCATGAGGTAAAGGCAGTCTGACAGACACACAGCTCCAGCGGTTAATACATACAACGATAGATCCATTTTCTTTTGGCTGCCTTGATAAGCTGACACCCAGCCACTGATTGTCACGCTCCTCCAAACAAGTCTTCCCACAGTAATCTCCATTGGGGTTGCCTAGGACACAAAGACCAATGCTCTGAACAGGGGGACAAGCTGAACGGCCATATGGTTGGTAACAGGAGCATCCATCTCCCCTACAGGAAGACTGCAGTAACTCAGGTTTGGAGGACCTGACCTCTGTCTCTGTCTTACGTAGGCCATGTAGATTTTTCACTTTCTTCTTGAACATAGCCAAAGGGAGCGCATACTGGTTCTGAACACGACAGCTTGGCAGTCAGGACTAGATTCTCCATCGTTATTGAAATTAAGACAGAAAATTACATTACACCATTACACTCAGTCTGATGAAGAGCTGGCTTTGCAAGTGTTGTTCAGCCTAAAAGTTCATAAGGAACACAAGTAATACCTGTGAGTGCTACCTAAACTCTATCCAAAAGCAAGCATCTCTCCAACTACATATCTACTGGTAGCAGAGCTTACAATGTTCTCTACTGCAAATGCCTATCAAATAAAGGGTGTATAACTGCAATCTCTACTGGGGATGTCAGATCATTATGTATGCATATCCTGTGTACATCCTTGCACTGTTGCAATTACTTAGCAGTAGCTCTTTGGTTTTGCTCTTAAGGAGAGTTGATTTTTAAAACCTTAGAGAACACAGTGAATTTTTTTCTAACTCCTCCAAAAGTATTGCCATGTTAGCAAATATTTACTTCCTTCTGGAAAGCAGTAGTGGTACCCGTGGTAAGAAGCTGCACTTTTTAAAGTATTCTAAGTTATATAAAGCAAGCTTTTCATTTGTGATATGTTTGTATGAATAAGCATTAACCAAATTACTGAACCAGTATTTTCTATGCATTGGTGAGATACAGTTTATGAAAAAACTTCTTACAAAATAAGGAAACACATCATGTCATTTGAACAAGCTCTTCTGCATAATTTTTAAGACTTTCCCAGATTCAATGCAGTTACTGGTGAACCCAAAATTTCTGAGCCTCAAGGGGTTTAGTTATCCAGAAGAGGGCGCCAAGTACAGAGTGCCACTGCTGACGGGGACATGGTTTGAGAGGAGAACACATAAACCAACACCCCCCAAAACTGTGCTCACACCAGAGCTGAAATTTATTACTGCTCAATGCATTAGAGAGTTTAAATAAACACAATCCTAATTTAGTGTACTTGCTGAATTCCTTTTACAGGAAATACAACTGCACAATATTGATTAAGTATGGAAACAGAATAAAGGGATGCACCTTGTCTATTTAGTAACCAGGAAAAAGATGAATGACTGTGGGCTTTGCTACATACCTTCTCACAACCAACACAGACTTAAATGATTTTATACCTAGGATGTCATGGACTGTTTGAGAGGAAATACCAGATTAATGGAATCAAGATAATTCTTTATCACATGGTAAGAAAATGTCAGGAGAAGCGTTTGTAGGAATAAAACCCAACAACCATCCTTAATTCAGAGCTTGTTCCCTGCTGGTTTGTGACAGGCCTAGGCAGTGACATTTGTCTGAACAAACTGCTGGAGCCTTGATTTCTTCTACTTCCATACTATCTCTCCGCTTTTTCCAAACATCACGCTTTCTCCCTGCTCCAATGGAAAGACCAGAGTAGGGCAGTCAGGAACCCCTCACCACACTGCAGAGAGGGTGCAGTGTGCACCCTGCACACTGCAACTGTACTCTACCGTCTTACATAAACAACACCCTTCCCAGGGTCAAAAAGCATCTGATTCTCCTTCATCTCTTCTTCTTTACCGCTTCCTCCCCCACCTGCCTTTCCCTAAGACATCATGGAAGTAGCATGCAAAATCCAAGTAAACAAGAACCGACCTTAGCACTCACAATGACAGCACATTCAATTGCCTTTGGGCCAAGAGATTTTATGTTACTGTAATTTAATAATTCCTGTAGGTCACCCGAGGAATGGTAATTAACAACATGCAGGCTCTTACTGCAAGACAAGCACGAACTAAAATGCCTGACTTTAAAAATCTATGAAAAAGAAAAGCAGAAAAGCAGTTATCAGTTACTGAGGTTTAAGTAATAAGCTTCCGGATTCTGCTACTTGGCTAATGTCAGTGACATGAACTTCCACGTACTGAATATAGACTATTTTCAGACACAAGTTTGGAATTTAGTTTTGGAATTTAATTTTGGAGTTATGTCACATAGAACTCCTCACTTCCTAAGGGAGACATTTCCATGGTTTGCATCAATTATAGAACATGTTAATCGGATCAAATTCTCCTCAGAAAACAAAATTCCATTACACTCCCATGTGTAAGAATTAATCCTCCTTTAAATCAGAAAAGGTACTTCTGGTAACTTTCTTCTAGCAATGCTTTCTGTCCTTCTACGACAATGACTTATCTGCTTTATAGTGTATGTAGATTTGCAGGAAATGGAAGAAGTGGAGAAGACCAGTATCATAAATCTAGATCCTAAGAGGCTTTCCGAGACTTTCTGTCAGTAAGCCAAACAAGACCAGCTAATGATGATGTGAAAGATAAGAGGAAGTTGTTTTTCTCATCTCAGTATTTTCATTCCTGTGCCTATTTCAGAGGTCCGTAACAAGAAAAAGCACCACCACTCCTTCAGGCTTGTTGGACTGTATTCCCTTTTTCCTTGGTTCCAACATACCTCCTTGAGTCAGGTTCACTTTGGCCCTCTGCTGACCTGCTGTCTTATGTCTCCTCTCTTTCTCTGACTGGAAAATATTTTCCACCTTGGAAATGATAGGCCTTTGTGGGCAAGAGAAGCACGAGTTTGACATCCCAGACACCATGATGAGCCCCTGCTTAGGGTATGACATTACGACAGCTTTATCGAATGAGAAGAGAAAATTTTGTATTCTGCACAAGCAACAGAGCAGCACTGCATAAGCTCAAGAGGACATAGCAGCTTGGTTGCCTCAGGGGAAAGAAGCACGTGCTGTCATAAAGTCACAGAGAGATAAGTAATTGCCCAGCCTGTGTACATTACACAGCTGGAAGATACACTTCTGCTATAATCCCCGCTGCATGCATCCACAGAAACAAGCACAATCGCATACAAATAAGGTCACAACTTATAAAGCCACTTCTAGCTTTGGCCTCAAGGACTCTAATACAGATGTTTGCAATGTCATCTGAGAAACCAGTTTATATAACTTGCTCCAGTGCTTACCATGCCCAGCAGCCTCCCATGATCCTTTTTATCCTCCCAGAACTCCTCTGGTCCTATTGCTAATTGGTTAAAACTATGAAGTCTGTTGCAAAGATGACAAGCTTTCTAATATCCTGCTCCTAGATGTCAGGGCCTCATCAAGACTCTTTTTTCATTCATCCAGGGCAATCTTTTATCTTTTAACGGATTTGATAGGTCTTATCCCTCTTATCCTATCCCTCAAACCACTTCAACCCAAAATATTTTAGTTAAGTGCCAGATGTTTCCATAACTCTGTAACAGATCTAGGTCCGGAAGGTCCTGTCTTCCTTGGAATAGTATGGCTATTTCAAAGGAGATCACTGGCAGGGTGTGAGCAAAGCAAGTGACATGAAAAAGCCAAACTACCAAAGGCAAAACTTAGTGAAATCAAAGTTGATCAAACAGGTCTGTCTTTTGGGGAAAAACCATTAACAGTTCACTTTTCCATTGTAAGGATTCAGCTGGGGGAGCTAGAGGGCAATTTGTTCATAGGTTAATTGTAGCAGGGACTTGAAGGGTGGAAGGTTGAGACTGCAGGCAGAGCTTTCTGGCCTTATGTTAAACAGCATGCACTGAATTTACTGCGGACATTCATAGTTAATTTTTTTTTTAAATGGATGGCAAATTTTATAATTTTTTTCTGGTATTTTTAGCCAATGAATAGCTCTTTTTAAAATCTGAGAGCATTTTGTTGAAGAATTTCTGTAATAGGTTAAAACATGTAATGAACTTTGTGCAAGGCTCTCTACAGTAGTCTAGGACTAGCCCAAACTGATGTGGGCAAGCTCTTGAAATTCAAAAGACTATAACACTGGCAGAAGATGGGCACTTAGTGCTCCAAATAATAAACCTGAAGCACTGTATTTTATTTGTGCCTAGAGCTTCATTACAAGCCTCTGCATCTAACATAAGTCCTTGTTTAAAAATACTCCAAGTACAAATAAATCAGCAGTCTAGAATACTTGACACCATTGATAGAGGTACCACAAATAGTAAAGAAACACTCAAAACATTACTCCTCTATTCAGCAATCAGAGAGACATTTAAAAGTACCAGTGAGGGGTTAGGAAGACAAAGATTTGAAGTGCATCTCATGGCTACTCTTGACTCTTAAACCAGCCCAGGCCCCTACAACACCTTGAACAACATTAAAATTATCTAAACTATGCCTGGATGAGTTATTTCCAGATGCTGGGATGACTACAGCACAGGACTATTCCTTGCAACTCTTTCTCTACTGAGGAAGCAGATAGGAACGTGTGACACAAAAAAATACAACATCAGTTTCGTGTGCTCAGAGGCTTCCTAATTGTGCATGACTCCTTCATTAATTAGTTATGCCAGTTTCAAGGCTACTTTAGTGAAAGACAGCAAAGTGTTTTAACATATTTATATCTCTAAGTAATTCACATCCACTTATTACAGATGTCCAACATTTGGAAAAACCCACTTCTATTGCCCATTGTCAATCTCTAAATTTCTAGGAGTCATAATTAGAAACTTACTACCTCAAAGATTCTTTTACTGAAAGAAATGTGGATTCAAGTATTTAAGAGAAAGACAGAAATAGCTATTTCTCAATTTGCCTGCCCCAGCAATGTAATATATGTGTGCACATTTTACAGCGGAAATTACCACGTTCTGAGATCAGAACCCAAACTTGTCACTGGAAAGAATCCAAGCAGAAGAACGAGGAGGTCAGTGACTGAAAGACACAGCATCGATAAAACCATTATGTCCAAAAGTTGCTGACAGCCTGAATGAGTTAGACAAGAGATAATTAAGTTCAGCTTTGCAATTGCCAGTTCTCTTGTGTATTTCTGCGACCGCTCGTCAGGATGGCAGAAGCTTAACAAACCTCATATCCTACTTCATTTGCATCCCATGCACCACAGCCGCCTTTGGCTTCTTCATTGACCTCATTGACCTGTTTTACAATAGACCGCTTATTTTCGGGATCTACTTAACTTCAGAAATACTGTAGATGTACTTTAGTGATGTCAAAATGGTATCTAGCACTAGGGGAAACAAACATTTTGCAAAAATCTCTTGTGGTATCACTGCTTTTAAAAATGCAGAACAAGAGAGTAAACATCATTGTGTGATCTGTGGCCTCTAAACCTGCAAATAGAAGCTGTGTTAAATTAAGCCTTAGGAACCACATAAACATTTTCATTCACCTATTGCATCCTTTTGTTTAGAATCCTCTAAGCTACTGAGGAAAAGCCCATCAAGGTACTTTGTTAGACTTTTTGTTTCACCACTAGCTAAATGAGTAAGTCAAGAAGTACTGCAGATGTGTGTAGTTTTCAAAGAACCTGAAACTTGCTACCCTTCCCCTCCTTTCCTTCCCCCACGCAGTGAAGGACTATTTTTACCTCCAGTCCAGGAGTAGGGGTTTATTACCTCCTAGCCTATGCTATTTCACCACTTTAGTTGACTTCTTTGACTTCTGCAAGCCTCCTCTTAGAAAACAAGCAGCTGGAAAAAAAAAGCCTCTTTGTCATATATAATTTTTCAATAGATCTAATATTGGAATGAAATTACTCAAAAAAAAAAAAAGAAAAAGAAAAAGAACTACTTGAGCTGGAATAAGTTTAACTGCAGTTAAAGAAAGTTCTTTCTACAAGCAACTGCTTGTCCTTTCCCTATGTGGCTATAAGTAAAGCACCACTGAAGTATCTTAGGTTTTTGTAACTTAGTTACAAAAAATAACCCTTATTTCTATCTGTAAGAAAAAATTAATAGAACCCATCAGTTCTAAGTGTTATGCATAGATGTGTAGAGAAATAATTGTTTTAACATTTTTGTCACAGAACGCTGCGTTCTGCGCTGAAAGCCCATCAGTCCATGGTGTGCTGTTGCTTTCATTGGTTTCAAATATTTTGAAAACCCTTTCCCGCGCGTCTTATCCTTACTGGGCGGCAAGTTCATAGTTTTAACTGAACGATGGTCTTGGTCACAGCAGGATAGAAAGTTCAGGAAGCTTTCTATGCATAGCACAGGGACAGAATGAAAGCACTGTATGCAAGGGGGACAAGAACAGAGCCCAAAGCAGTTCATGCATATTCACAGTAACCCATTGCAAAGCGTTCTACTTTTTAACAAGTATCAAAGACTTGGAAGTTGGGAAAGTGCATCCAGTTACATCTCCCAGGCATGGGGACTGGCAAAGTAGAGAGGAGTTAGGTTAAACGTAGGAGCTGGTAAAATTGATTCAGTCAAAAATAGCTTTGTTCCTCCAAATGTCAATTTTTCAACATATCTGCAAGCAGGGAGAACTCATCTGGCAAGATGACAGTGGTTCAGAGTTACTTTAGGGTGGCTTCTATGAAGGGAAGGCTTTGCAGAAGAAAAGCTGATTTAGGCACCTATTTCCACCCCCACATCTCTGAGCTAACTACACTCGCCCTCTGCTCTGAAAGCTGAGCTAGCTTGCTGCTGAGAAGTACGACAGGCAGACCGAAACCTTCACGGGGCTTTTGAACTTTGTGCTGAAAGGTGCCACAGAAAACTGTGGGAACGGGAGCTGTCATATGCGACTTCTCTCAACCAAGTTTTGGTGCAATTTCTTTCTGTCCACCGAAGAAAAGGTGCCACCGTTGCTGCTTTTCAGCAATAGCGTTGATCTCGCCCTTCAGCGAGAGGAAAGCGCCAGTTTAATCTGGAAAGGACCCAGACGAAACGGGCCGCAGCCCGAAGCCTT